TCATGACCATGAGATGAAGACCCAAGCTGAAATCAAGAGTTGAATGCTTAACCCACTGAGCCACTCTGGTGTCCCTGGGGCAAGACATTTTAGACAAAGTCCACAATGTGAAGCTGCAGAGCCTATGTAGTTTTAAAAGCCTGGAAAATGCCAGATTATCTGAATGCAGGGTTTGTATTAGGAAGATGATAAAGCTGAGGAAGATTAATGCTAGATTGTCCTGGTCCTTGAGAGTTGACAAGAGGTTTAGTCTTACTTGAGACAAGAAGGAGAATTTTTAGCAACCAAATATGAAGGATTAGAGTTAATGTTTAAAAAAGATGAATTTGGCAACTGCATTCAGAAATGTCTGAGTTGGATAGCCTGGAGCAGAATTTCTGAAAGCATGATCTGTAACCCCATCTTTGATCTAATCACTTGGAGTGTTTTCTGCCTGGGCCTCATGGACATTACATTCCCCAGCTCTGGGGTGAGGTCCTGGAGCAACATGAAATAAATTATCCAGTACGTGAAATTTTCTGTACACAAAAGCTATCTAAAACTGGCTTAGAGACAAGACCAATGAGGAGGTATATTAGTTATCCATTGCTATGTAACAGATTTCTTCAAATTTAGTAGCTTAATGCAACATACATTTAGTATCTAAATGTTATAGGTCAAAAATTGGAGAGTAGCTTAATTAGGTGGTTGCATGAATTTGCACTGAAGCTATAAGCCAATGCAGCAGTCATCAAAAGGCTTGACTAGGGCTGGAGGATTCACTTCCAAATTCATTCTGTGCCTATTGGCAGGAGTCCTCAGCTCCTCCCCAAGGGTTTGCTCATGATGTAGCAGTTGGCTTCCTTCAAAGTGAAAGTTCCGAGAGAGAGAGAGAGAGAGAGAGAGAAAGACAGACAAACAAAAATAAGCTATAAAATCTTTTAAAAAATTATTTCATTTTATTTTTTAAATTTCAACTTTAATTTTTTTCCATTTTATTTTATTTCTTTTCAGTGTTTCAGCATTTGAAATGGATAAAAGACCTCAATGTGAGGCAGGAATCTATCAAAATCCTAGAAGAGAACATAGGCAGTAATCTCTTCGACACTGGCCGCAGCAACTTCTTTCAAGATATGTCTCCAAAGGCAAAGGAAACAAAACCAAAAATGAACTTTTGGGACTTCATCAAGATCAAAAGCTTCTGCACAGCAAAGGAAACAGTCAACAAAACAAAGAGGCAACCCACAGAATGGGAGAAGATATTCACAAATGAAAGTACAGACAAAGGCCTGATATCCAAGATCTATAAAGAACTCCTCAAACTCAACCCTCAGAAAAAAGATAATCACGCCCCAAAAAATGGACAGAAGACATGAACAGACACATCTCCAAAGAAGACATACAAATGGCTAACAGACACATGGGAAAATGTTCATCATAATTAGCCATCGGAGAGATTCAAATCAAAATCACAATGAGATACCACCTTACACCAGTTAAAATGGCCAAAATCAACAAGGCAAGAAACAATAAGTGTTGGAGAGGGTGTGGAGAAAGGGAAATCCTCTTACACTGTTGATGGGAATCAAGTTGGTGCAGTCACTTTGGAAAACAGTGTGGAGATTCCTTAAGAAAGTAAAAATAGGGGCACCTGGGTGGCTCAGTGGGTTAAAGCCTTTGCCTTCAGCTCAGGTCATGATCTCGGGGTCCTGGGATCAAGCCCCTCATCGGGCTCTCTGCTCAGTGGGGAGCTTAATTCCTCTCTCTCTGCCTGCCTCTCTGCCTACTTGTGATCTCTGTCTGTCAAATAAATAAATAAAATCTTAAAAAAAAAAGAAAGTAAAGTAAAAATAGAGCTACCCTACGACCCTGCAATTGCACTAGTGGGTATTTACCCCAAAGATACTGATGTAGTGAAAAGAAGAGCCATCTGTACCCCAATGTTCATAGCAGCAATGGCCACAGTCACCAAACTGTGGAAAGAACCAAGATGCCCTTCAACGGACGAATGGATAAGTAAGATGTGCTCCATATACACTATGGAGTATTATGCCTCCATCAGAAAGGGATGAATACCCAACTTTTGTATCAACATGGACAGGACTGGAAGAGATTATGCTGAGTGAAATAAGTCAAGCAGAAAGAGTCAGTTATCATATGGTTTCACTCACTTGTGGAGCATAAGGAATAACACAGAGGACATTGGGAGATGGAGAGAAGTGAGTTGGGGGAAACTGGAGGGGGAGATGAACCATGAGAGACTGTGGACTCTGAGAAACAAACTTGAGGGTTTTGGAGAGGAGGGAGGTGGGGGGTTGGGTAAGCCTGGTGGTGGTGCATAATCAAGTTTTATTTTTAAATGTTAAACTAACTACAGACTGAACAAGAAAGATCAAGTATTATTTCTTTAACCATGCAATTTCTGAAATTAGAAAATTCTGGCTTAAAACTAGTATTTTTTTTAGCTTGGAGGACAAGGGGAGATGGAGAGGAGAAGGGAGTTGAGGGAAATTGGAAGAGGAGGTGAACCATGAGAGACTATGGACTCTGAAAAACAATCTGAGCGTTTTGGTGGGAGGTTGGGGGAACCAGGTGGTGGGTATTAGAGAGGGCACGGATTGCATGGAGCACTGGGTGTGGTACAAAAACAATGAATACTGTTATGCTGAAAAGAAATTTAAAAAAAAAGAGTTAAAAAAAAAAACCAAACTAGTATTTTTTAAGTTGCAAAAACATTTCATGAAAATGTTGACCATTTCAAATATTGAGTAAGATCTTCTCTCTTGCTCTTTTTTTCCTTAAGATTTTTTTATTTGAGAGAGAGAGAGAGAGAGAGGTCACACACAGGTAGAGGGAGCTGCATACTCCCTGCTGAGCAAGGAGCCAGATTCAGAACTCGATGGGACTGGATTCCAGGAACCTGGGATCATGACCTGAGCTGAAGGGAGTTGATTAACTGACTATGCCACCCAGGCATCCCTCTCTCAATCTTTTTTTTTTTTTTTTTTTTTTTTAAGGCCAGCAAAGACCAGGAATATATTTCTTTGGGTTCTCCGAGAGAAATTCTTTGGTTACTTTGGAAATTCCCAAAAGAAGTTCTTTGGTTTCCTCTCCCCAGACAACACCTTTGTTTTTGTTTTCATAGGATAAGAAAATCCTGGTGTTTGACCTATTTTTCACCCAGAAAGACCCCAGAGATTTGGACCAGTCCTGTGTTTTCCACTTTTTTCCACTGTGTGGCACTGAGCACATTTTTGAATAAAGATCTTTTTGTCTGCTTCAGCATCTCCCATTTTGCTCACACGGTCAACAGCTCTGCCCACTGCCTACCTGGAGAACATTTAGCCGTCACCCAGGCAACACGTGCTGCAAGTCTGAGGCTGGTGGTCGCCCAGTAGTGCCTCAAAGACCTGTGCTGGAGGCCCAGCCTGGCAGGAATTTACAGGTCTTTTATAAGCCAATCTTGGAAGTGACATATGAGGAGGTAGGGATGAATCACTGAGGTTAAGTTGGAGTCTAGGTGCCATAGAAAGCAAACCCCAAGGTCTGAGTGTGAAGTTATAACTTGGGAATCACAGCATATGATGTGAAATAATATAAGCTAATATGTTTGAACACTCACCACATCCAGGAATTATTCTCAGCACTTTACATGTATTATCTCATTTAATCCTCAAAACAACTTCATTGTTATTATCCAGAAGGGAAAACTGAAGTACCAGAGGTTAGCAGCAAAGCAAAGCAAAAGGAACACTGCTATAAAGAAGGGATTACCAAGACATGAACAGAATTTGAGTGTGGAAGAAGGTAATTGGCTGTGACCAGTGTCATATGGAAATTTTACTGACTGATGAACCACCCTTTATAGTTCTCCAATGAGCTCAATCCATGCAGTGTTAGGATGCATTATGGGGGGCCACAGCAGCTACTCAGGGGAAATGACAATCCAGCCAAACATACCACAGGCCATTCATTTAATAAGCACTGGGAACAACCTAAACCAGAAATTCTCCCCTGATAAGATCCCCAGAATTGTTCCTAAATAGCTTGGTCTCAGGGACTCATCTCTGCCCCCAAGGCTCTTTCTAACTTTTGAGTTGCTTGTGCAGTCTGGAGAGGTTAAGAATAAGAAAGTTTCATTCTTGAAGGAAGCAAATCAGACCCCCGAATTTATGAAGCATACTGTGGACAGGGATACCGAATGCTCACTCTTTATTACATTTCTCCCCAACATGTGCAACCTGGGGGTTCCCCAGAGCAGGCTGTTTTTCTGCACACATTCTGAATGTTCCTCCACAACGGAAAACACCCTCCAATGTTTCTACTCTGCTTCTTGGTCAGCTCCTCCCCTCAGGCACCACCCCAACCTGTTCTTGCTGCAAGTCACAAGATCCCTTTACCTTCCTTTCTTTTCACTTTTCCCTCGGTCTCTGTTGTTCTCAGTCTCCATCTTTCCAGCCCGTTGCCTCCTAGGCCCTGTCCTACAAAGCCACACCTGTACTGACAAGTGCCTGAGTGTCTGCTAAATTAATGTCAACAAAAGAAGGAATAAAGTGAGCCCCAGATACCCGAGAGGTGAGCTGCCTGGGCGCGCGGGGACTCCGTGTAACCGAGAAGGGCCTCCCCCTCCCCGCCCGCGCAGGCGCCCCCCTTGCAGGATACCTGGAGCTCTCAAGTGAAGGGGCCGGGCCGCTGACATTAATAAGCTCCGCAGGCCCCGAGATGGCGCGACAAGCCTTCCCAAACTGCAGACGGGGCAGTGGCCTTGCGGCCTCCGACCACCCGAGGCCCGGGGCGGCGGGGGCTCAGCCGGGCCGGGCCGCGGCGGGACGCAGCAGGCCGCACGGCCTCGCCGCCGTCTGGCCCTGGAGCGTCTCCAGGTGCCCGGGTGGGGCCGCGAGCGCCCAGTCAGCCACTCTGGCATGCGGGCCGCGGGCGGGGCGGCGCGGGCAGGCCGGGGCTGAGGGACACTGTTGGCCAACATCTCGGCCGGGGTGTTTGTCCGCCGGCCCGTGCCGCTCGCCGGCGCCTCTGCCTGGCCCGCTCGCCCCTCCTTCCCCGACAGCTTCTGGCGGCCCAAGTGGACGTGGTGTTGCTTCGGTCCCCCTCCGAGGGGAGCGCAGGGCCCTGCACGGGTAGGTGCCTGGGGAGGGGAGGGGGGGGCAGAGAGCGGGGGCAGAACACGGGGTGTCGGGGGGGGGGCTGGAGGGGGCGCGCCGAAGGCGCGGCGGTGAGGGGGCCTGGGGGAGGCCGCCACGAGCCCATCCTGGCCTGCACGCGCCCCCCAGGGACCCCTCCGCGCGGGCCGGCGGGCGACCGGTGTCCGGTGTCGGTGTCCGGTGTCTGAGCCGCGGCGGGTGAGCGGCGGGGGTCCCCGGAGGGAGGGCCGCGACGCACTCGGGAGGTCCGGGGCAATTGTGGGGCGCCGGGCGGGCCCCCGTGTGCCTGAGGGGCGCTCGCGTCGCTGAGCCGGGGCGGGCCGGAGGCGGCCGCGTGGAGCGGTGGGGCTGGCCCAGGACTTCCGAGCTCCGGCAGGACGGCCTCGGCGCCCCGCGGGTCTCGCGTCCGTCGGGGCCTCCGGCGCCCGCACGCCGGTCCCCCGCCGGCCCGCTACGGGCGCCCCGGCCTGCGCCCCGCAGCGACGGCAGCCGCGGACCGGCGCTCGCACACACGTGGGGTAGGGCCGTGCCGACCTCCCTCGCGCCAGACCTGCCGGGGAGGCCCGGGAGCCGGTTTCCCAGCGCGCGGGTGCCAGGGCTGCCCTGTGGGTTCGGGCGCCGCGGGCGGGGCCGGCTTCGGGGCCGCGCGTCGCCACCCGCCCGCGCGCTAGACGGCGGACACCGACGGTAGCCCCAGGTCCCCCCGGCGACGGTCTTCTTCAGCCAAGCGGGCGTCTCTGCCCGCCCCTGCCCTCGGGGTTCAAGCGGGCCCCTGGAGGGGTGGGCGTGGAGATGCCAGTTCGTCCGTCGGTCTTCTCCTTCTCATTCTCTCCTCAGGGGTTACAGGGCAGAAGCAGGGGCACCTCTCTCTAAACTTGGGCTCCTCGGCTCCTGAAAAGTTTTTTGTTTTGTTTTAAATATTTTATTTATTTCTTAGAGAGAGAGAGCATGAGAGGGGAGAAGGTCAGAGGGAGAAGCGGACTCCCCACGGCGCTGGGAGCCCGACGTGGAGTCGATCCTAGGAGTCCGGGATCACGACCTAAGCTGAAGGCAGTTGCTTCACCCACTGAACCACCCAGGCGCCCCTGTTTTGTTTTTTAAAGTAAAACTCTACCCCCAGGTCCGCTCGAACCCAGGACAGAGATCAAGAGCTGAGCGCTCTCCGGACTGGGCCGGCCAGGCACCCCTCTAAAAGGCTTCTGATTGCCTGCTTAATAGAAGCGACTTGGAGCTTTTAAAAGTGAATAATCATTTAATGGATTTAAATCAGTGAAAGTCATATGTGGGCATAGATTTGGCACATGAGTGGGGTTTTCTAGATAAATCCGAATGTGCAGTAACTTCAAATTTCTGAAGAATCGTATATATGTACAAAACTTAGTACCAAATTGTGTCACTTCTGTTAATTCATTTTATCCTCAAAAGTAATCCTTTTGCAGATAAACTTTATAAGGTAAAGTTGAACGAGATAACTGAAAGTCTGAAAATAGCTGGCCATTTTAAAAGAAGTAGGATTCAAACTATATTCGGGTTTTTTTTAAGATTATTAATTTATTAATTAATTTATTTATTTGTTTATTTGGGAGAGAGCAAGCCAGTGGGGGTAAGGAGCAGATGGAGGGGGACAAGCGGACTCCAAGGTCAGTGAGGAGCCAGAGGCAGGTCTCCATCCCACCACCTTGAGATCCTGACCTGAGCCAAACCAAGAGTGGGATGCTTAACCAACTGAGGCACCCAAGCATCCCCAAACTATATTCTTAACATTAAAGTCTTACCGTCCATATCATGTTACTGCTATGATTTAGGCTTTATCTCTGGCTCCGCCTGTTCAGGGTCTCAGAATCATTAAAAGCACAATTTTTATTTTGTTGAATAGGGCTATGGAAGATGTGAGAGGCCAAATCTTTGGTATCCTGGAAAACAACTGATCCTATCACCCTTTAGAAATTCATTTTTGGAATAAATAGCAGATGTGGGCCTGTTGTTTGTCATTTCTCTTTTTCGAGTAAGGTGCTGTATACAACAAGAAAACCGAGTTAGCTTAGCTTAGCTTTTTTTTTTTTTTTTTTTTTTTGGATCTTGAATAACTGGAATTTTGCTGCACTCAGTTTGTTAGATGGGGAAAGTCATTCCAAGTCTGAGTCAGTGTCAGCAGCTGTCCTGTCAGGGAGTGAAAGTAGGAAAAACCCAAGTTCGTTTCCTTATTTCTATTTCCTCTACCCTTGCTGCACTGGTCTCTGCACCTTCACTAAGGCTATATGACATAGTCTTCAAATTACAGAGATGTACAGTGCAGTCCCTCATTTCATAGACAAGAAAACAGAGTAGTGAAATGACAGCTGAAAATCATACAGCTCTTGAGAAGCCCGCGCTGGGGTCCTTGCTGGGTGTCCTGTGAGCAGCACTCTGTGCTATTTGAGTTTTCTGTCTGAGAGCCTGAGGAAGGAGTTAATTCATACCCGCTGGGCATCAACAGCCTTAGAATGGCATGCACACTATTCAGCCACCTGACCTCAAAGTAGTTGCCAGCTGAGCCCCCAGGTACTCTCTGAGGACACAGGGAAGCCAGTGTCTTTCCTTCAAGATCCAGTAGTTAATGTAATGCTAAAAATCCATGTTTGTTGAAAAGGCAAAACAAACTCAAATTAAAATTGTGAACGAGCTTGAGTATCTCATCACAGAGGTGCCATGGAACCCTTCACACCTGTGAGAGGCTGTACCATTCGTGCAACTCCTAGCAGCTCTGAGAAGGGAAACTGAGAACACGAAGTCCTGATGAATAAAGTGGGCAAACAACATCCATGCCTGGGCCGCCATGACAGTTCCCTGCTGCCCTTCCTGTCGAGGTTTTTTCAATGACCTGGCCTCCCCTCAGCTTTCCTGAAGTTCCCTAGATGAGGCTTCTGCCGCTCAGAGGCATTATGTCACGCACCTTCCAGTCAGCATTGATGTTGCTGCCAAAATGTGCAGGTCTTCTTTCTGAAATTTCACCTGTGGTACCACATCCTGACGATGTGCTGATTCCAGACTTACAAAGAAACCCCCCTATACTAGTAGAGTACGGGAGAGCCGACTTAGAGCCAGACTGCCCAGCTCAGCCACTTTCTGTCTTCTTCATCTGTGAGACGGGGGTAGGGAGGAACTGAATCCTAAGAGGGATTGTGAAAAGTAAATGAGTTAAAACACACAAGGTGCTGAAGGTAGCGGCTGGCGCAGCATGTGTAAGCTCTCATTGTCAGTACTCGGGGTGGAGAAAAGGGGAACAATGGGAATTAGGCACTCTCGGGCTTTCAGTGTTTAGGCCACACCATCACTGTTGCTAAGATTCACCCCACTCAAAATGGGGAACAGAACACAAAGCCTCAGGCTTCACTGAGTTCCTCCTTTTCTACCATGTTTTATTTTTTGTTCAAGTCAATCACTGGAGGCATGGAATGTGCCAACATAAGGACATTTACTGGAACATCAAGGAGTCATTCACCTTGGTTTTTTATCGCTTCATCTCAGAGCACTGGAGTCTAGTGGGCAGAGGAACCACGTCCTCGCTGTGGTTCCTGTGAAGACGAGAGTCTGGCAGACTCTCCTCTGGTGTAGATTTAGTCGGCCCTGCCCCTCAAGAAGCTTGCTGGAACCCAGGAGTCCAAAAAAAAGCATTACAGGACATCAGTTCTTTGGCTGGCATACCAAGCCAAGGGTCATCTTTCAAATACAGAAGTAGGAAGGGAGTGTAGGAGGGACATGACTGAGAGTCAAATACTGCTTTTAATTGTTTTTAAAACTTTTCTCTTTTTTTTCTTTTAATTGTTTTAGATTGGGGAGGGGCAAAGGGAAAGGGAGAGAGAGAATATTAAGCAGGTTCCATCCTCAGTGCAGAGCCCTATGTGGGGCTCGATCTCTGAGATCATGACCTGAGCAGAAATCAAGAGTCCAACACTTAACCAACAGAGCCACCCAGGCGCCCCTAAAATTTTTCTCTAAATACTGTGTTCCATTTGAGTTCCAGTAGTTTGAACGCTGCGGGAGATTGATGCAATTACTAAGAATAGTTGTAGCCTCAATAAAGGTCCCAGCTACACAATGGATAGTGAGTTTAACTATGTGCTGTGTATGCAGACATTCTGGGGGACCCCAACTGTTCAACATGCTTGTGTAAATGAAGGAGCAGCTTTGCAGGGAAGAAGAAGAGGGGAAGCTGACTCCCAGGGAACTTTACCATCTGACCCATGGGAATGACAGGGTGAAGGAACTAAAAGCAGCCATGGTATGACTAAGTGATAGTCTGAAGTTTATGAGTGTTTGCATTGAGCTTGGCCAAACAGGTATTTGAGAGGTATGGCCAGGTGGTGAGATTATTTGAAGCATGTGAGCACCAATTTACTAGTCAACTTCTTAAACATAGGTGATCCTGAAAAGTCTCAGTAAGCAAGCTTTTTTGTGTATTGAAAAAAAATTAAAAGTTTTAAAACAAACCAAACAGAAATGCGCAAATTAGAGGAAACCCCAGTGGAATTGTCCCCCTCCCCCAACCACTGTGAACCCACTTGTGAGTGCATGAGTCTGTGGCTTCTTGTTAAAGGGGTCCTCTAAGGAACTCCTTTGTAAAGCAGGGATCCTTTGTAACTAACCTAGTTTCCTCTTTATTCCCCCAGTTTTTCTGGTATGTAAATTTAGTTTTTATTAAATTAGATAGATAGAACGGTACATTTAAAACCTGGTGACTTTCCAGAGTGTACACGGATGTTTTCTCCTGCACCTCCACTGTTCTCATGGTTCTGGTAGGTCATCTGGAAATTTCCTTGTCCTTCTGTGAAGATGAAGTACATGATTGTGTTTATTTAGTGCTGCTTTTGAGGGGAAATGGGAAGATTGCCTTGTGGTCTAATTTCTATTTCTTTTTCCTTCCTTGAGGATGGCCCCATTTTGGTTTGAGGTAGGTAATTCTGTGAAATCTCAAAAACAGTATTTTCTTTTGAAATAAGTTGTTTGGAGAGAACCTTTTAATTTCTTCCTGTGCCTCTTTTTTCTTTTATCCTTTTCTCAGCCATACAGTTGGTGATTAGACTCTGAGGTAATAATATGTTTGCTTAGTTGGGAGAAGGCCAAACCTCTGTTAATTTTTTTTGTTTCCCTGAGACTGACCTGTAAAAGTTAGGGTTTGTTTTGTTTTGTTGATAAAGTGTTTGGAAATTATGGGATGGGGTTACACAAACTCTTAACAAAGCCTGCCTCAGCTTTCTTCTCCTTTCACCTGAAATGAAAAGTGATATTGTATTTCCTCCAAACTTAATTCACGAGCCTGCCCCTGCCTGGCTGCCTGCTTTCTGCCGGTTGCCCTTTGCAGGTTCACGAACAGCACTGTGAACAGTATCTTTGGTGCCAGGAACCAAGAGCCAGTTCTCGGAATTGTCGTTCTAGTCACTAGGATTGCTGCAAGTCTCTGGGAAGGCCTGTGGGTGCGTCCAGGTGCCAGGCCAGGGGAGGCACACGTGGAAGGCATTTTCAAGAACTTTTGCCACAGGTGTAAAAGACTCCAGGCCTGCAAAGATGCTGAAACAGATACTATCAGAGATGTACATAGATCCCGATCTGCTGGCAGAGCTCAGCGAAGAACAGAAACAGATCCTGTTCTTCAAGATGAGGGAGGAACAGATCCGCCGATGGAAAGAAAGAGAAGCAGCAATGGAAAAAAAGGAATCCTTGCCAGTGACATCCAGGCCGAAGAAAGGTAAACTTACCTGGGTCTCTTCCGTGAATGTGTTAGTAACGTGGCTCCTGGCTTGTTTTAACAGTTCTCACTCGTCAGAAACAAGTCAGGGGCAAGTTCCAGTTTGGTAGAAGGACCCTAAATGTTGTTGAGGTTCTAACAGTGTAATTTGTCAGCTTGAAGTTTATACTTACGTGCACATACCCACACGTGCACAGCATTTGCCATGAACCTGCGTAGCTGTAAGCAGATTTCCTACTTGAAACCAGACTGACCTTAAGCTGAAGTAAAAAGTCACCTGTACGGTTTGATCTGAGGGGTCCTAAGGAAGGGCTTCTCTCCCACTTATGGTCACTGGGGTCTGTATCCTATTAGCAGCATACAAAGGCATTATATCAGGATTCTTACAGCAATTATGTTTACATTTCTTAGACTTTCAGAGATTTTTCTTTGTGTTATCATTTCTTAGGAAAACTCCCTCTTAAAATGTAAATACTGCTGTGGGGGAGGGGGAGTCATACTACACATTTTTTTTTAAGTAATCTCTGTGCCCAGCATGGGGCTCAAACTTGTGGCCCCGAGTCAGGAGTCACGGGCTCCACCGACTGGGCCAGCCAGGCACCTCCATACTACACATTTTTTAATGTGAGTTAATTTTTCAGCTGTCTTTCTTCCTGACCCAAGGAACCCCTGGTAGCTTGAGAGATCCTTTTGAGACCATGAGCAAGGAATTCTTGTACGTCAAGACTTGAAGCATATACACACGCAGACGTAGAAAAGCACACAGTAACCACCTCTGCTCTTCGCCCTCCCCTAGCACAAATTCTGTCATGGATGAATACCTAAGTTGTTTAAAAAAAAAAACAGTTTTTCAGGGTCACTTGCAGAGGCATTCAAGACTAATTTCTCCTCATTTTTCATTAAGCCAGGAAACATAAAATGTGATAAAACCATTCAGGGTTTCGGAGATGGAGAAAGTGAATTTCACTTGCATGCTGGTATACACAGACTCAAAAAGGAAGTCAGTTTAGTGACCTTTACCTTATACTCCCTTTATTTGAAACCTTTCCAATTAAACCTTTATAATGATATGGAAATAAATATGACTGTTGCATTTATTGTTATCAATAATAGCTATTTATTAGAAACGTGTTTTGTCAGACACTACACAAAGCACTTTTATATACAGTAGGTCTTATCTTCTCAAAACGTCTGCAAAGTTGGTATTGTCTGTTTTATAGGTGGTGAAACTTAGAGAAGTTAAGTAATATATGCAAAATCACACCACCAGTAGGTACCCAGATTTACTGGATTTCACAGACCTGAAATAGACTTTTTACTTCAGTAAGTAACATGTCCAAACGGAAGCACGGCCCTTTTATCTTTCTTAACTGGCTTATACATCTCCCTGCATTGTTGAGCCAGAGTTTATCAGATAGAGCTGGACCCCTCTGGGCACCATTGTTCATTGTGAAGAGAATACATTGATGTGTTGGGTAACTTTGGGGCTGTGAGAGCTGAAGGGTTCTTGCCCCTAATGTCAGTGGCCCAAACACTTTGTAAGACTTTGGGGTTCTCACATTTGCTGAAGTGGTCTCCTTGTGACTACTTAAGACAGCAATTTCATTTCTTTGCTTAAATTATCTTTTTGAAGACTTTGACTCTACCTCTTAGAAAATCTGTATTACTTTATTTAATTAAATGATCAATTAAAAATTATGTTAGTATATGCAGTGAACATTCTATCTGAATTTCATGCCAAAAGTTTATTACTCCTTTAAACTTAACACTTGGAAAAATACATTTTACACTAGATTAGTTCTCTCTTGTGACTACAGAAAAAGAAAAGTTTTGAGATTCCTTCCCAACTTTCCCTAAAACACAGCACTTTTCCATCTTTCATCTTCTTCTGCCTTTGAAGATAAAGCCACAGATAGTACAAGGCAGTGTTATGGCTGGTGCTCCCCAGGAGTGTATCTGTACTGCGGACCTACTGTGTGCTTCTGCTCCTTTCGGGCCTGTGCTCCCGGCCTCTCCCACCCCACCCAGCTTGTACCCAGCTGACTTTAGTGCTGCTTCTTCATAGCAGTTCTTAGCCAGGCCGAAGCTTTAGAGATTGTCCTTTTCTTGGCTCTTTAAATATATCTTATGCCCTCCCCTCCCCCTCATTCCTTTGCGCCATTTTAGCTCATCACTTGGCAATTCTTTCATTATCATCTGGTCACTTTCTTCTCTATACCGTCCACTATGGTGAGTTTTCAAAGAGCATCACTAAAATGTTTGCATATTGTGTATACCAGGAACCTTTTAGCAGTCTTACAGCTACAGTAGAAAGGTCTGAAAAGCAATTAGAAGTGTGGATTTAACTTAGTAATAGAGCAGAAAATAATTTCAAAATGTAATGGGGAAATGTGATTTTTAGAGAGGGGAAGAATTCTGTATCTCCTCTGGCTGCTGGAGGACACATACCTGGAGGTCTAGAGCTTGGTGTCCCCGAGGGCATTCCCCTAGCCATGTGTGGCTACTGAGCACAGAGAAATGAGAGTAGTCTGGATTGGTAAAAGTGTAAATTACCAGATTTCAAAGACTCGATTGGAAGAATGATATAAAATAACCACATTAGGGGCGCCTGGGTGGCTCAGTGGGTTAAAGCCTCTGCCTTCGGCTCAGGTCATGATCCCAGAGTCCTGGGATCGAGCCCCGCATCGGGCTCTGTGCTCGGCGGGGAGCCTGCTTCCTCTTCTCTCTCTCTCTGCCTGCCTCTCTGCCTACTTGTGATCTCTGTCAAATAAAATAAATAAAATCTTTAAAAAAAATAACCACATTAATGATTTTGTACTATTTCTTTTACTCTGGTAATGGGGCTGCTAGAAAATGTGTAATTACAGAGGAGGTGGGGTTGAGAGGCTCAGAGCTCACATTTGGACAGTGCTGCTCTAGACTGTAAAAGTAGCACCACTGAGCTGATGATGTATCAGACCTGAGCTCAGTCTTAAATTTATTATCTCATTAAATCATCACAGCCACGCCTGAAGCTGAATTACCATTCACATTTTACGGATGGAAGGAAGTGAGGCTGGGACAGTAACTAGCTCAACAGGGCAACAGCTAGTAAGTGCAGAGCTGCAACAGACCCTGAGTCTGACTCTCCCAAAGCGGGCACTGTTGACAAATCTGCTACATGTCCAGCTTACCTGGAGCTTAAGACGCTGCTCTTGTCTGCAAGTGCCTTGCACACATCCAAGATGTGTGCTTGCGTCAGGGCCCTGCCTTTATTCTGTGTGATTTCTTTCTGGTAACACGAACAGTAGAGGCCTTCACTCCGTAGAGGACTGCCCAGCACTTGTCTCATGGGGCCTCCAAGCCGACAGAAACCTAAGCAGGAGGCTGGGATCTGGTCGCTGTGTATGGTGCGGGAGGGGCTATGTGTGCCCTTGAAACGGACTTGGATTCATGAAACTTCATTTGCTGCATTCTCGTTGCTACTAGGTGAACACGTTTCCTTATGCAGAGCCTTCCCCTTCTCGTGAAATGGCCGTAAACCACCGGTGTGTTCCACCAGCAGTGGCACTTCTCCCCTCCCTTCTCTGCTAAAGCCAGGGCAGTGACTCCATGGAAGGTCTCGGTTCTGATCTCGTCAATTCCTCAGCATCATTGGACTCTGGAGTGGCCTCTCTGAGTCTCTTTTTCACCTCCGCCTGACCCTCAAATGTCCATATTCCCCCCAGGGTGCCTCACTCTGCACTGGTGGTTTGTAACCTGGAGGTGGGGTTGAGAGGCTCAGAGACTCCTTTGAAAATTTAGCGACAGCTTGGATCAGGGAAAATGCACGCTACACTGACAACATTTTGTGCATAGTTTCACAATGTTCACAGTCTCCCTAAATCTTGTTCACAGATCAGGTTCACAGATCCTAGGTTAAGGTCCCTGTGTTATCTCCCTGCGGTACCACTTCTACATTTTTTTGTTTTGGTTTTGTTTGTTTGTTTGTTTGTTTGTTTTTTAGAGAGAGAGCATGAGTGGTGGTGGGCAGCAGGGGATGAGGGTTGCAATGGACAGAGGAAGAGGATGAGAGAATACCAAGCAAGCTCTGTGCTCAGTGTGGACCCAGACACAATTCTATGACCATGACCCTGAGATCACCACCTAAGCCAAAATCAAGAGTCAGACGCCCAACCAACTGAGCCAGCCCGGAGGCTTCTGCTTCTACTTTTTAGGGTTAAACACCACCTATATGCCAGCCACGCTCAAAGCCATACTGCCAAGCCAGGCCTCTCACCTGCTTCGGCCTCAGTGTCCATTCCGTTAATGAGTGTTCCCATTCATATGACCCATAAGCTCGTCAGTGTCACCTCTGTCCTCCTCACCACCCCCACGCCTGACCCTGCCTCTCATTCTCTGTTATAATCAGTGGCACTGCTTTTTTCCCCTTGTCACTACAGCCAGAAACCTGGAAGCCACACAGCTAGTCACCGAACCCATAGATTTTATGTCATTTGTTCCTTTGCCTAGAGCTTTTCCCTTACCAAGGTTCTGGTCTGTTAGGATGTGCCAGACATAAGCATTATATTTATGCTATTTCATTTAAACCTCACAAGAATCTGGGATGGTACGTGTTGTCGCCTTTCTTCTTATAAATAAGGAAACAAGCAGGGAAGGTCATTTATATGGTTACTGTTATTTGAACCCAGGTCCAGATCTACTACTCCAACTCTGTTCTGAACCACTGGTTCTGGCCTTGTCTCCTGCCCTCCCCTAACTCTGAGCTTGATAGCTTACCTGGGCTTATCTTCTTCCCTGGTGAGCACCTGCAGGATAATTATGGATCTCTTCCTTCTGTTCACCTTCCTGAGCCCCTGTAAGCTGGCCTCCTCTCCTGACTCAAGTTCTCACTTGTCCGTAGCACCACCTGCTTTCCTGGGCTATAGCCCAAGCACCATGCAGGTTCTCCAGCTTCCTTTCTGTCCTTTTGTCTCTAAAATAAGCATAACAATTATTTAAAATTTGAAAGATGGACTTTA